CACTTAACATTTTTTTTTTCAATGGCCTAAAAGCATAACACACTGTTTTCCTAAATTTTGCTTTGAGAGATTCATATAGTTTGTGATATAAAGAGTTGGCATCACTACATTGATCACTATGATCACCACATTTCTTATCTTAATAAGTTACAAATTTCATATTACATGCCTGAAAATGTTATTGAACTTTTACTGGCTACATGTATGTATTTTAGGGGCCTTTACAAAGGTAAATGAATGTTAGTACATGTACATGTACATGTGTTCTAGATACCAGCTTGAGTTATCTTGTGAATTTTGTTGAAGTGCTTCTGCTTCCTTGTAATTTTGTGCCCAACCCAAAAAATGTTTATAAACTCAACTTTATGACATTTTCCATAGCTAAATGAAGAAAAAGTAGTCATTATCATAGTCATACATGTACTGTACATACCTACAGAGACATGTACTACAATGTTAAGAGTATGGGATTAAAACTTAAAAGGCACAATGACTGTGGATTATACAAATTTATGACTTGGGTTTCAGACTTTCAGTTTTTCAACAAGCCATCTCTAAAAAACGACCTTTCACCTACTGTAGTAGAAAGGGAAGGTTTTTTAGAGAGGCTTCCCTCACTTTCTAAATTTAGAACGGTGGAGCATAAAGCATGACTGACCTCGGTCTGGACTCCAGGAAAACAAACGTTTTTTGTTGGTGTGTCTGTGTGTTTGTGATTTTTACATTGTACATATACATCCAGGATCTGTTTGAACTTTTTAGAAAGAATTGAAATTGTCATGGTACAGTACACTTTGTTCTAGACTACTTTACACATGTACATGTATATGCCCTTATATGTATAATCATTTCAGATCCTGGTAGTAGTTGTGTGTGATTAGGAAGTTCCAATGTACCAATGCAAATTCAAGTTTATTGATACAAATTATCCACAAGGTCGGATGTACATTAGGTTCCCATACAGGGGGGGGGGGGGGGGGTTAAAACAAAAATCACAGGCAAACTGAAATGTTCAGGTCACAAAACCCCATCTTTGGAGAGATCATTCATCATTAGGATGACTTTGCAGAACTTTGTAGATCAAACAGAAAATAAAATCATTACCTTGACAAAATTTGATGATTTGGCAAAGATTACGCGAGAACGATTCTTCTTGCTCACTCACCCGATTGATGTACAGGTACATGTGTAGGCTACCTGGTACCCGTACTCATTGTGAATCACACAATAGTCATCGTAGCTATTGTTGTATTTTTACCCCTGAATTTGTGTCTGTGCTAAAAATAGCCCTCATTTGTAAATAGTATCATTTATGGTGCAATTTCTTCTCTTTTTTCAAATATGTATAAATAAAAGTTGAAGTCTTTTTGGGTTTATTTGTCAACTGACTCCTTGTGCCGTCATACCTTGTTACAGTGCATGTTCCATACAGCGGTCGGAACCACTCGTCAGTTGATGATAAGCGTGTTGATTTAATTCCGTCAGAGATTCATTGACCGTAAGTGCAACACAAGTGCAAAAATGTATGTGCAAAAGAGTTTGATATTCCACTGGACTTTGATATAATTCCAAAGACTGACGTAGGTGCATGTACATGTGCATATATGTCCAGAACAGGAGATTGTATGGGTATTAAACTATATAAAGACGAGAAAACAGAATCTTTTAGATTAAATTTCTTGCAAAGAGAGGGGTCACATAAGATTTGTTGATTGACTTTAAGGTATTTAGCTGTCATCTCTGCATTCGTTGGTCAGTAATCTCTGCTCTATTGTAAGAAAGAAGGCTTTCTTGGTGCTATTACAGACTTAACACATGCAGGTGCATGTAGGTAGGCTTCAAATGAACTTCTATCTTATTTTGAATTTAGGAATTTGAACAGTTGCATACTAATACAATTATGTAATGAATTTCTAATGATGATGTACATGTACACAATTACATGTAATTAGGATCCGTTGCAAAATGCCAAGTCATCTATAATTTGTAATAATGGAGTGTCGGATGGACATGTATTTTTGTGAAATGTCATGCAAGCTGTTTAGACCAAATGAGTAGATGAAATGATTATTAGACCATGTGGGAATAGACCAATTGGGAAGAAGACGAGGTGATTGTAGACCAAAGGGCAATAAATCAGTGGTGGCGTAATCAGCCTTGAAATGTGTCATGTGATGCCGTTAGTCATTTGACCTTTACATGCATCAATAGGTAATACATACGTACATAAACTTCAGTACAATTTTTCAGTCCTTTCTGATTCATCGGTCGTGTATTGCATCAACACAATTCTAGGAAAACGAACTGACTAAGCAGCAGCATGCTTCTAAAATTGAAATATTAATTTATTGATATTTGATGATAATCATCGATCCCACCCAGGTTGATTGCAATACAGTATACATGTACAGGTGTATGTCGACATCTAAAAACAAGAAGGTAGTAACAGCTACTGTATGTACATGAATATGAAATATGCTGCACATGCTAGTATAATGTCACATTCTTTTCATGAAAATGTTGTATTTGTGTGAAAAACTGATTTTTTTTAATTTTTTTTTAAATTTTTTTTATGTGTGTGTGTGTGTGTGTGTGTGTGTGTATTTTTTTGTTTGTTTTTAATGATTTATGTTGTTGATTTTTGTTAATATTTTTTATCTTTTTGTTGTTGTTGATTTTTTAATACAATTTTTTTTAAATTAAAAAAGAAAAGAAGATAGACAGTCTGTTTTGTGTCTAGAGGTTGGCATCTCTGTATTTTTCTAGTTTAAAAGTCACAAAGAAACCAGAACCTTTGCTCTTTGTTATGGTATAATGGCTTCAGAAGTAATTATGTCTTATGAGTATAAATAGAAACTCAAACTGAAAGACCATGGACAGTTTGCAGGCACAGCCACAGACTCCAATATCACGCTTCAGCACAATTCTATAAAGTTTTGGGGGACCTGAGCCTAAATCAAGTCTTTGACTTTGAGGCACTGCATGTATGAAGTGCAGTAGACTATGAATGTGTAGTCTCACAACTGAGACACTCTGGCACACACAACTTGCAAGGCTTGTGTCTGCATACTAGACTATCCTACAATGCACACTGTCCAACATTTGTACATACAAGTGCAGTACAACATGAACATGTGTACCTAGTAATGTACAATGTACATGTACATTCATAGGATAACATGCTTTGGTAATAGGGGATTCCCGGGATTGGTCAGACAAGTCTGGTCATGCCTAGTAGTCCATTACAATGACTATGCATGTAAATTATGTCCAGTTTCTATAACCCTTTGATAAACAAGTATAATCAATTTCCTCGGGACCTGGGCAGGCATGCCCTTGGATGGAAACAATTCTTACTTTCGGGAGCAATTTGCAAGAATAAAGAAAAGACTGAGGTTGGAATTATGCAATGAGTCATTAAGATTTGAATGTGGTCACAGTGGTGGAACTCAATGGGTGTTTCGGTCTTGGTTTCCTATTATTTTTTAAAAGACCGGCCGCTACGAAGTCTCTTTTGGAAATCTTCCATGCCTGCACAAACATAGAGACTTTAGTTATTATTCATATCAATTCAACGAACAGGATCATTAATAATGTATAGCAAGTGATGCATTTGGCTAGACTCCTCATACAGTACATACACTGTACAGTCATTGTATAAAATCACATTTCTTATTACCTTATGTAAAAACAATTTGGCTTTGGTAAATTGGCATTGATTCAATACAGGTCAGGGCACTGTTTCATGAAATTTGTTTTGAGTAACAGATGCTAAATTCAACCAATCAGATGCCACGATTTCAGTAGCTCATTACAGAAACAGTAAACAGGACCCAGGTCGTACAATATATTGTAGACTTTGACATTAATTTATTTTTTAGACAAGATGTTGTACAATTACACGAAACAGGAGGACGTAAACAGGCTTCATGGCTTTCATTATCTTTTGAGGCGGCAGACATGCATTTCATTTTTATTTTCGAAACCTCCTTCGGGATTTCCCATTTTCACAGCCATTGCATTACCTGTGTTCAAATTAATCTTCTCAATACTTGTAGAAAACCCATGCGGTGGATTATCGTTGATTACTGAGAATCCCGTTCCGATTGGGAGTTCCTACAAAAACCACAGAACGAAACCACGTTTGAAATTCTAATGAAGAAATATCTGTTGATATCAGCTCTTTTGCAATTCATACATGTACCTGCATTATGTTAGTCTTAGAAATAACTTGATAAGGCAGTACACGTACAGGAAAAGAGCAATATATACACCGTAGCATGGAGCAATTTTATGCCGATCGGGAGTTCCTACAAAAACCACAGATCGAAACCACGTTTGAAATTCTAATGCGGAAATACCTGTTGATACCAGCTCTTATGCGATTCATACCTGCATTATATTAGTCTTTAGTAGAAATAACTTAATAAGGTATATGTAGTACAGGAAAAAAGAGATATACATGTACACAGTAGCTTGGAGCAATTTTATGCTGGAATTCAAAAAAAGCTTTGCTCCTAAAAGCTGTAGAAAGGGGGGGGGGGATACTAAATTCTTCCACAAGGAAGTCTCGAGTGTACATGTACATGTACTGTGTGTAGTGTAGAAGAAGGCCTATTATTAGACTTTATTATAGATGTATTGTAAATATTGATAATTCAGCTTCAGATTTGTATTTACAAGTACAGCTACATGTAAAGTGTTAAACCTGTCCAGTAGTGCCACCCAAGATAAACAGGCCACTGTGAAGAGGTGGCCTTTCTAGACAGGTTCTACAACACATGTGTCTTCTTTGGTAGAAAATATACCGGTAGGTGACCACTATTATAGACAGGCGGCCTTTATAGAGAAGTGGCCACTAAGTCAGGTTCTAATGTAATGCGGTGCCAAAGAGTAGCATCCACCTACCAGTGAATAGTTGGCTCTCAATTCTGCTGATTGAGTCAGAAAAAATATTTTTGAAGAGGAAATTATGCAAAAACAAAAGAACAACTCCTAAGAGCTGCTGTTTTCATAGATATTCCGCAATTTGCTTCTGTATATGGGATTTTTTTAAAGTCTGTCTTTTTCTTTGCCTTTTAGTACAAGTTAAGACAAGTATACCCCTCCAATGCTGCAAATGTACCCGCCTACATGTCGCAGCAAGATCATATTGGCATTCGAGTCGCAAAACAGTGATACTGTACAGGAACATGTCCAGGGTTCTGTGCTAAACATGCCCACAAAAATCCCCTTCCAGGTGTTGTATTGTTATGATGCCAAACGGTATATGCAATAGGAAGCCAGATAGAGAAAGGCGGTGCAAAGGTTCCCGATGGGTAAACATTGTTCTGTGATAGGTAGATTTGGTATAAATAGGAGCGGGCAAATGGAGTTGAGCTAGTATTTCATTCGGTAGGCCAGTGAGAGAGAACGTAAACATAATATTCCTGGGTGACTGAGCTTTGGAGGATCTGGATTGCCGGTACTATTTACTAGCTGCAGATGAGGCTCTGGTATTTTGAGTGAATTTTTGTGAGCTTTATTGCAGCGAGGTAATTGTCTCTTTGACTTTATACTTTGTTATTTCTTCTTTTCTTCTTTCTCTCTTTCTCTCTCTTTTGTCTCAACATTTAGTACCAGTGTGTTCTTTCCTTCTTTTAATACTTATTTTCATATCTCTCTTTCTCTCTCTTTCTCTCTCTTTCTCTCTCTTTCTCTTTCTCTCTTTCTTTCTCTTTCTCTCTTTCTTTCTCTTTCTCTTTTTCTTTCTCTTTCTCCATTTCTCTCCCTTTCTCTCTCTCCCTTTCTCTCTCTCCCTTTCTCTCTTTCTCTTTCTCTCTCTCTCTCTCTCTCTCTCTTTCTCTCTCCCTTTCTCTCACCCTTTCTCTCTCTCTCTCTCTCTCTCTCTCTCTCTCTCTCTCTGAGTACAACTGTAGCCAACCCACATCCTGTTGATCTCTGTCACTTTAATCCAAAACAATTTTTTTTTCTTTCTCTTTTTCTCTTCCTGCTTTGCTGGTTTTTCCTTTTTTAAATCACTTCCTTTGAAAGTTTCCAACTCTTGTCACTCACTGTGGTGTACCAGTTTTATTTTACCCAGCCATCTCGACTTTCTCTTCCTCTCTCTCTCATGCTCAATCACTCTTTCGCTCATTCACGCGCTCACTTAATGTAAAAATACTAATTTATACTGTATTGAGTGTATTCAAATGTGTGTGATTGTTATCACATATATGTGTACAAGTAACCAAGTATAAGCCTGTATGATTTTATATAAAACTACAGCTGCTTATTGACAATTTGCATAATTTTTTTTTTTAATTCCATGCTTAAAACTGTACCTGTAGATGTACTTGTAATTAGGGCTCACTATATTTCAAAACACAAATCCAGTCTAAGCCAGGGTAATAAGTGATAATGATTCAAAAGTTAAATACATAAACGATTTTAACATTTTGTATTTCACATGATATGTACATGTAGGTCGACATTTTGACCTTTTCCCACCGTTTTTCATCCAGTACCGTTTCTAAGTTTATACTCGTGCTGTCTGCTAATGTTTACATGTACATAGTTACGCTTACGTGTTCAACAAATTTATGACTATGGTTCAATTGGATATGCCTGGAGGAAGAACGTACTCTTGATTCACAACAGTTCAATGTTTTCAAAACCAAAAGTGATTTATAGTCTGTAGTTCCTGCACATGATCTACATGTACATGTACGTATGTAGTTTAAAGCTAGTTTGGAAATAGAGACTTGTTTTGAAAGTAGAAGATTTTACATTAATGTTTTGATACCATTCATGGTAATCTCTCATATTTATATTTTGATTGTGGATTTACTGTAGATTTTTGTCTACACCTGCAATAAACACTTACAAGTATCATTCAGTTGCTACAGTAGATACATGTACATGTACTGTAGTGTCTTTTTATCAACAATGTAGCAGTGTTATAGCAAGGCTGATGAACTTTCACATACCGGTACATCATGTAATTGCCTGCATTCTACTAACATTTAAACCCAACACTGGGCTCTTAGCTTTTGTTATCGGTAAGAGGAAGTTCCTTTGAGCCTGAGGTGTAAGATACATGATCTTGAAACCATGGTTGGGTTAGCTGGATTAGGAGAATAAGGACCCTGTGTCCTGGTAGTGTCCTGGTACTGTTTCACAAAGCCTTTTTTCAAAGACAAATGACAAAATTCAGTAACGAATCTGCTGATAACCAATCAGAAGCAAGGATTTCAGTAGCTTATAACAAAAACTGTTTGTCACTGATGACAAGTTCTGTGAAACGTCCCCCTGGTGCAGGTCTTAGTGCATGCATGTACTCTTGGGTCAGGAAGTAATGATACATTAATTATCCGACTCTGAATTAAAGTGAAACTCTTCTGAGCTGTAGACTAGGTGCGTCGTCCACCCACGAGAATCCTATTTTAGTTGAATACAGTATAGAGGCTATACATGTACAGTACATGTAGGTCTGTGGTTACAAAACCTTCGGCTGTTAACAGTAAACAAACTGAAGATCCGAAACTACTTGTATTTTATTGCAATATTGTGTTATTGACTCAATAAGCATCTTTGTGTTGCCACTGGTGATGCTGGGGATTGTTTTGTTTATTTGTCAACTTGGAATTCCATAAAATGCTTGATTGCACTCGGACTATCATCATTTGCCTACTCTGATCTGCTTGGAATGTTGTTGAGCACTGCTTGTAATGTGGGGAATGTTGTGATCTAAACATACCTGAAGTTGAGTGTATGGGACTGATAACCATTGTTATCTGACTGAAAGGCAAGTGCTGTTCTGTTTTCGCCAGGCTGACCACCAAACCCTAGTTTGCACAAGTTCTATAAATGGTTTCTTTCTTTACATTAGTCAGATCTTCACCTCACATTAGCTTGAATAAACAGTAATCTGCACATGTAAGCTACAGTCTAAAGAATAAACAGCTCATTCTAGGTGATTTTCAGACCCTCTGATCAATTCTAACTGGCTTTCCTGTAATTGTTTGTCTCTCGTTGCCCCCGTGCAGGAATACATCCTCTCTGTGTGTTCGGACAGAAGAATTGAAGAAGGCTACGCACGGCAGACCCTCGCCATGCTGGACGGACGCATCCCTCAGTTGGAGTACGCCTCTGGCGCCGTGATCGAGCAGGTCGCGGAAGACAAGCTACGGATACAGGGCCGCGATGAGAACATCATGAGGGCCATGTCCCTTATATCTGCGAAGACGAACGGGGAAGCTCGTAACTCAGAGAACGGTGCAATACATGTAAGGAGAGAACCCTCCAGGACAATCACTGCCACTTCTTCAAGGACAGACTTCAGCGATTGCAGTCATTCCACGAGGGAGGTGGATGAATTCGCCGAGAGATCGAGACCCGTTGCGGTTGAGAACGGGAGTCCACGAGAGACCCCAAGCAAGGAACTGCAGACCAAAGCTGTACCATCGCCTTCCTCGACCTCGTCGTCGACGTCGAAATCAAACTCTCAGAACAAGCATGAGGTCATCATTGCCCTCATGCTCAAGCTCGGCTACTCAAGGCAGATTGTAGAGCATGTCTTGGAGCAGATTGGCGACCAGGCCTCGAGCGACGAGGTCCTGCGGATGCTGGTGAATCTTGGATCACCAAAGATCACTGAAGATGTTAGGGGAAGCGATACCAAGGAAGGGGATGGGGGATCAGGGCGAAAGGATTTTAGCGATGGAGTCGAGGAGCCCGAGGAAACGGATTCAGACCCCCACAGGCCAATCATTATCGATGGGAGCAATGTAGCCATGAGGTAAGTTCCCGCTCTGCTCTTTGTCAGATAGTTTAAGAACACACCTCTGCTTAGAAAACTGATGTTGAGTAGAGGATAGGATAAGACGAGCCACAAAATATAAGATGTGTAGATGTTGTGAGGTGAATCATAATGGATCTTGTTAGGGACTACAAGTTGTGCCCCCTTCTCCTTGGGAGAGAGAAAAAAGTTAGTGTCTAATCTAAAATTCCTGGGGAGTCAAGTTTCATATACATGTACATGTACATGCATACCAAGACTAGACCCCCAATAATTGATTTATATTCGCTCGTATAATATTCCCTATCAATTGCATTTCACTCAGAAATTCTTGTACATACAAATTATACATTTTATGTACCTGTACATTTACATGACATATTTTATTGCAGAGAATTAATTAAAATCAACATTTATCTTTATCAAACTGGTTCAATACTTGATTTTCTCTTTTATAGCTATGGAAACTCTAACATCTTTGACTGCAAGGGAATCCATACAGTCGTGATGTGGTTCCTTCTGCGAGGTCATAAGATCATCTACGTCTTTGTACCGAGCTGGAGGAAGGAACAGTCCAAACCGGAAACCCCCATCAAAGGTAAGCTAACCCCCTGAAAAATATCATTATTTCCATTTATGCATTATGACGAGGAACAAAGTAGGATATAGATGACTTTAGAGATAAGGGTATGTTTGTACTTCTTCAAGTAGCTAGATAAAATTTTGTAGATAAATTTGACATGGAAACATTAATGGGCACATTAAGTGCAAAGTGCATGGGAATGCATTTTAGATATAGTTTTGAAGTTTGTTTATATCCACAATTATGTCAAAATCTATTTATAAATCTAAGATATTTGGGAGCTTCTTTTTTTGTTTGTGCCTACATTTTTTTTTTTTTGGGGGGGGGGGGGGACTTGTTTTCATTTTGTCAGTGTTATCGGCAGGAATATATTGCAATTATTTGTTTTGTAAACTTTATGGTACATTTACATAAATTTCCATACATAGAGAAATGACATAAACTGTTTAAAAAAATCTATATTTATAGAATATGTGGAAATATATACCAATTATCCCTGACTCATTCATGCAATATTTCTGATTTATCTCTTTGGAAGTGACCCAATTTCTTCCTAAATTGCTTATATTTTGAACAAACTGTCGATGATTAAGCTCGTGAGTCAGAAGCAGGCATTCATCTTTGTATATAGTTTGTGATGCATTTTACACGCACACACCCTGAGCGGGGGGCACGTACATGTAACTCGTGACTAGGTACTGCTCTTGCAAACAATGGGTATTATATTGTCCGGGCCTGGCTGTATTGTGTGCCATCGGGGAGAGTGTTCACAATAGGCATTGTGCTCCGCCTGGTCGGGCTATTTTTAGCGAGGTGCTTCCCCTTAAATTTGGAAAGGTTTACTCAGGGGGAGGGGGAGGGGAAATTCACTACCTGGGATTCAATTTTACCGGACTCATGGGGCGATGAAGTATTTATATTGTCTGAAACACTGGCAGCGGTATCTTTAAAGAAGTAACAAATTTAAGGTAGAATCATAGATGTACCCCAGGTATGCTTTTATACAATCTCTGTTATGGACTTATCAAAATGTTTACTCAGGGGAGGGAGAGGGGAAATTCACTACCTGGGATTCAATTTTACCGGACTCATGGGGCGATGAAGTATTTATATCGTCTGAAGCACTGGTACCTGTATCTTAAAAAAAGTAACAAATTTAAGGTTGATTCATGTAAACCCCGGGTGTACTCTTATACATTCTCTGTTATGGATTTGTTAAAATGTTTACTCAGGGGTAGGGGGAGGGGAAATTCACTACCTGGGATTCAATTTTACCGGAATCATGGGCGATGAAGTAGTTATATTGTCTGAAACACTGGTATCGGTATCAAAGAAGTAACAAATTCAAGGTCTATTCATACAGTTTATACCCCAGGTATGCTTTTGTACATTCTCTGTTCAATATACATGTACATGTAAGCTGGTTAAAATACTTTTGTCATTTTTTTTAATTCAAGAAAAAGGTTGTTGAAGTACATCAATTGTACAGCTTCAACTTATAACAAGTTTTATAGGCCTATGTGGAAAATAAAAACTTCATTTGGTTGTAAAGGTGTCCCATATCTCTAGTGGGATGCAATGATTAGAAATATGTTTTCTTTATAAAAATGAAAGAGGAAATTGTCATAGCAATGTCCTTATCATTTTGTATACAATGTTCCGAAAACTGGATGAATATTCTACAATACATGTACTTACAATGTACGGCTACAGAAGTGTTAAATATAATGAAGTACCCGTGATTAGGTGCCCTCTTCATGCATTTTGGTTGTCCAAGGAACTTAACAAAAGCGTTCGTTAAACATGATCTACAGGTACATCCATTTATTCCTACGTGTAGCTTCAAAGATCCCTTAGCTCTTTGCGATATCCGATTGAAAGTTGAGACCATCACTTCCTTGATAAAACATACTGTTTCCTCTTGGCGTGAGTCATTCGTTCTGAGTCATCTCCCACTTTGATAATTCATGATATTTGATATTTTTGGCCATAATTTAATGGAAGTAACATTCACATGAACAAGACAATTTGAGACAAAAACTTAGAGGAAGGGATGTTGCGTACCGGTAATAGAAAACTGTGCCTACGTCATGCGAGGAAAATCTTACGTCATTTCTCGTCTTAAACTAACAATAGAAGTGATGAAAGATATAATGCAGTCTTATTCATTACTGTTACTGTCAAGTTGAAATAAAGTTTAATTCTCTTTGGATTGTTATCAGCAGTTGCCCAAACATGTATTATCTTTCATAATAGTTGGGGTGCTTTTTAAAGAAAATCGTTGTGATTAATATACAGGTGTATATCCTGAATTTTTGATGAAGATCATAAATACAGGCATTTCCATTTACAGACTACATTCATTGCAACTAACTATTACTGTTAAGTTGAAAAATATGTTCAATTCTCTTTTGGATTATTATCAGCAGTTGCCCAAACATGTATTACCTTTCATAATAGTTGAGGACGAGGTGCTTTTAAAGAAAATTTTCGTGATTAATATACATCCTGAATTCCTGATGAAGATCATAAATACAGGCATTTCCTTGAATGTTTTTCAGGTCATGTTTGATATCCTGATAATATCCAAGATAAAGGAAATCTGCTCTTCAAAGAATGTTCTAAAGCTCATACAATGTTTTCAATGAGGAAGTGACTATTTGTACCAAATATATTCAGCTTTTGTTTCCCAATTTTTATATAAACAAAAATATGAGCCTCATGTTATCATACAACATTTTCTGTTAAAAGAAAAATATCTCCATTACTGTCTCTTAATCGGTTTGACTTTTTAAAACATTAACTCCTTTGAAATTAAATTCCAAAGGAAAGGGAGGTAGTCATGCAGGGTGCATTTCCTTTAGATTTTCTTGGTACATGATAACAAAGAGGAATCAGACTCCTGGTTGAAAATACATTGAAACCATCTGATTGCTGAGCTGAAATCAAGATTTGGGGGATTTTTATTTTTTAGTCATTGAGATCCAAAACTCGCTGAAACCACAAAATGGAAGGAAGCAATTTCTCAGGAATTCTTGATAATCAAGGAAACTATGATATTTCAGGATACCGGTAAATGAGAACCATTCTCTTTTTTAGGACTATTCTGTGAAAGTCAATTGAAGAACTTCTACAGTGTACATGTAGGTTTGATGAAAGGTTAAACTTTTTTTGTTTTATTGGAATGATGTCAGCATTATTTTGTGTGTGTTGTTGTTGCTACAGCTCAATCAAAGGTCTTCTGGGCCGCGTCTTATAAAGAGTTACGATTGATCAAAATCAATCGTAAGTCCTCCAATCAATCGCAAGTTTGCAGTCTCCTACAGTATCTCTTTTGTACATACTGTAGTTGCAATTTAACAATCGCAAATAAGTTGTGATTGGTATCAACTCTTTATAAGACAGGGCCGAGATGTATATTCGTAAGTGCACAAATTAGATTATTTATCAATATCATTCCATTACTAAAAAAAAAAAATTAAACGTTTTTTTAAACATTTTTTACGTTTTATTTCTGCAGACCAGGAGATCCTAATGGACCTGGAGAAATCCAAGATTCTCGTCTGGACGCCCTCGCGGAGGGTCAAAGGTCGGCGGATGGTCTGCTACGATGACCGCTACATCCTCAACCTGGCCCACGAGCTGGACGGGATCGTGGTCTCCAACGACACTTTCCGGGACCTCTGCGCGGAGAAGCCGGAGCACCGAAAGGTGGTGGAGGAGCGGCTACTGATGTATTCGTTTGCCGGCGATAAGTAAGTCTTAATTACCATCCTTTTTTAAATATAAAGTAGCACCTGTAGTCAAACCTGGTTTAGCGACCACCTGTCTACACAGACCATCTGTCTTACTTGATCTACATTTTACAAAGACCACAATTTTTTGTGTCAGTTGAGAATAGTTTCTCATTGAAACATTGGAACCTGCCTTCAAAGACCACCTGTCTGTAAAGACCACTTTTCTTGTCTCCCTTGGGTGGTCTTTATAGACAGGTTTCACTGTATCATGAAACATTTTTCTCATTTTTCCTCTCATATTTTATCTCTCTGTGTGTGTGTGTCTCTCTCTCTCTCTTTCTCTTTCTCTATCTCTATCTCTCTTTCTTTCTCTCTCTCTTTCTCTCTTTCTTTCTCAATCTCCTGTCTTCCTGTTATTTCTCTTCTCTCCACTTTTGCTTTCATTTTTCAGTATCCGCTTTTTGTATCATTAGTTGGTATTATTACCATTATCGCTTTAGTGACTATTTAAATGACTTTTTGTTTTGTTCTTCACTAAGCAGGAACCCATTATTTATTAGCAACAATGCAATAGATCCCAATAAGTTCTCCTATATGATACAGCATCAACTTGTATTGTTTACAATTACTTTTTGATGATGATTTATTCTGTATGGACAGAAAATTAGAAGAAAACAAAATCACAAACATCTTCATGTTGCAGCTTCACAAAATTAAGATTAATATCACCTGTTGTTTATTTTGTTTTTATGGCACTTTTCATTCATTTTAGACTAGTTACTCCAAATGAATTCAATACCGACATGTACATCTACCTAGTCTTTGTTCAGGCTCTGTTCGTCAAAATGCAAAGGGGGGGGGGGGTGTTCCAGAATAAATCAGCAGTTCATTTTCCTGAATGTGCCCCAACTACACTTCACCTTGTTTTTTAGTTCTTGATATTTGAATAAATCACATAATGACAAATGTTTTTTGTTCTATTTTAAGTAGTATGTTAGATAGAGGAAGCATGCATCATATTGAATTGTTCCTAGGCGTGGTGCGGACCAACAGACAAATCTGTTTTCGTGCGTGCGTGATACCTCTCAAGAATTCAACGTTTCTTATTGTTATGCAAACAAAGCCCTCAAAGTGAAACCTGGGTGTTTATTATTATCGTTTTGGTTCCTTCGTCTAAAAGTGTTGGCAACGGCAAACAAACAAACAAATCGTCGTCAAGCAAACCCAAAAGCCCATTCTTTGACTTTTTAGGTTTGTTTCAGTGAAAGAGGAAGTGACTTGGGGTGCTTCAAGAATATTGGGTGATGATATTGTTTGAATATTTGACTACTGTTGTTCATCCCAGTACAGTATCAATTGATAAGTCATTCATTACGCATCCAGACATTTGTGTAGCCTTCATCATGTTTAAAGATGGACTGTGAGAAATGAAAATACAATTGAAATATTTGATTGATTGATTCATTTTTAATTCAATAGACGATTAGTTATGTTTGATCATTTCTTTTCATTGGTTCTAGCAATGTATGACTAATGATGATAGATAGCATCAAAACTATTTCACGGGAAGTGGGATATTTCCTATAAATATTGGGTCATATAATTTTTCATCTTCTTGCTTAAGCTAAGATTAAACAGCTGAAACTTTATCCTTTCGCTCTTTTCCTTTCTGTCTCTCACCTTCTCTCCCTAACCCCTCCCCCTCCTCTCTCTCTCCCCCTTCTGTCTCTCTCTCTCTTGTACTCTTTCCCTCTCTCCCTTCCCCCCCCCCCCCCCCCCCCCCTGGCCCATTCTCTCTCTCTCTCTCTCTCTCTCTCTCTCTCTCTCTCTCTCTCTCTCTCTATGTTTCTTGCTCTTTTACATCTGTATCCCCTTTCTTACTCAAGATTTATAGTTTTCTGCTGCCTGTAGGACATGTACATGTACAAATAGTTTACAAGAGTTCCCTTTTTTTCGGTTTCATAGATTTGATAGCTGGCGCCTGAACTACATTGTAAACTCATGTGTAAGGTTATAAATCAAAGTCGGAAGCAATTAGTGTCTCTAAGATTGATTAAATGGCCACTTGAACCTTGTGGGCATTCAGCAAAACCCTTGGACTTCCTCATCGCTTTGTATGCAACTTTTGCAAGGGTTGTCTCTAATCAGTATCAATACAACGTTTGAAGTTCTCCTCTAATTGTTCTGTTAGTTTATCTGTCTCTGTCTTTGTCTCCCCCCCCCCCCATCTCTCTCTCTCTCTCTCTCTCTCTTTCTATTTCCCTTTGTCTTCCTGTCTATGGCGCGGTCCTATCTCTCTCATTCTATCTTTTTAGGAGTATATCAGTTTATATCTCTTTTCCTATCTCTTTTCCTATCACTTTGTTATGTATTTCTTTTTCTTTTTCTTTTTGTCATTTTCATTCTCTGACTCTTTCTTACCCTCATAACTTGTCATAAATATAAAGCTCTTATGGGTTGTCTATTGTATGCTTGTCTCTGTTTTCTTTATTGGTCGCCTCTTGCGAACTTGACCTGCTTCTCACAATCACAAGCAAGAATCGTAGTACTAGAAGTGTGAAGTAAGGTCTGTCCATCTAGTCTACACACTCTTGGCCAGGCTCAAAGTCCGCTTATGAAAGGTCTTACTATGGTTACGAGTAGTCTCTAGTCACAGACCCAATATACTGCAAATCATAATGCAGCCTCAATCAAAGACTATTTGTTATAGATCAGGTTCTTATATTAATACACACCAAATATAGAACTGGATCAAGCTGTGCTGGCATCTGCCCCCAGCTTGCCCTATCATCTCCACTAGCCCAGACTACCGGCGAACTTTGTTTTAAAAAAGTCTGCACTTGCAAGACTACATATGTACAGTGCGCTTGGAGGGAAAGCCCCTATTGATCAATCCATGCCCTAAAGTTCCCTATAGCCATAGGCAAGGGAAGCGAGGCTGTTATCGTATATATTATAAGCAAAACCGGATCTCTAGCCACAAGCCCTGCTATGAGTATTAGTATGACTGACCTACGGACATCTAAAGGTCACTGTGATATAACAATGATGCTAAATGGTCCATACATGGTATCTCTAATTTTGATCAAGTACATGTATAATAGGAATGCCCTTGCATGTAGAGATTAAGTTCTGTGTATTAAAAAAGAATTTGTCACTCAAATGTTTGAAAAGCAAAATTGATTAATTCATATTACCTACAGTACTATACAGTAGCAAAAAAAAATACATGTACAGTTTGTGTATTAGGCCTTTATTTAGGCCTAGTCTTTGGCAGAATTCATTTTCACTTAATGTTTACATGGTTCTTCATGATCATTCAATGACAACAATGTTCAGTTCTCAATGTAAGAGATTAGAAGAGATTTTAAGACCTGTATAGTCGAGACTGTTATTGTGTTATTGAGACTTGTGATATAAGAATTTAGTTGAGATGATGTAGTTATCATACTTTACTTTACTTTACTTTAAAACATGATGTTGTAGATCTAAGCCTGTTCATCGATCCAGGATTCTTCCATGGTTACTGCTATTACAGAAGGCTTGCATTCTTTGACCAGTGACTATCAAGTCTATTCTTAAATGAGTTGACCGACCGATCATGAATCTATCTCTCTTTTTTTTTTTATCAGGTTCATGCCACCTGACGATCCTCTTGGCAGACATGGTCCAAGTCTGGAGAACTTCCTGCGTAAAACGCCTTCCAAGCCCAGTCATCAGATGCAGCTCTGCCCCTACGGTAAGAAGTGCACCTACGGCAACAAGTGCAAGTACAGCCACCCTGAGAGGAGCAGGAACGTCAAGACAACTAGTGAGATCCTGGTCGAGAAGGACCGCCAGAGGCAGGAGCAGAAGCTCAAAGCCGACCTGATGGCAAGGGCGCTCAAGACGGAGATGCTCGAGATGCCGTGGGAAAAAGAGGACGGGAGGGGAGGAAGCGCCACGGAACCCTTACCTAACCAGTCCGGTTCATCGCGGGGTTCTGGCATGTTTCGTGGGGTAGCAACTCAGCAGCAGCAGCAACATGGAGGTGCTGTCACGTTACCCTTGAGTAATCAACCAATGCCGGACAACCGCATGAACACAGTGCCTTTGGCTGGTCCGCAGCATATGCAGCATGTGCAGCAGTACCGTATGCACCCTCAGAACTTGCAGTCTATCAACGAGGGCTGGGCGCCTGCAGATGAGAGGGTTTCTGAAGGTTGGGTATCCTCTGATCATAGAGTCCCTCCCCTGTACCACCACGCCCAGGCAACGGCCCCGCCCCAACATAGGAACCAACCCCTCCCGAACAGATCTTCGATGACCGCTCCTCTCCAGGGGTACTCTCACCATCCTCTGCCTAGGCGAGACATGATGACGGAGCCTCTCTCCGCCCACGATTACTACCAGCCCCGTGCCGCGCAGCAGTCTGTTAAGCGCCACTCTCTACCGATGGGCGCGGTCGAACAGCAGAGACCAACTCTCCAGCAGGTTCACCCCTCCTACCAGAGGGACAGAGGCAACATGGGTGACTTCAGCAAGGAGTTCCATCAAATGTCACTCCATGATACCACCAGGTTAGCACCACACCCTTTCTTAATCCTAAATCAAACAATGCATTAACCACACCCCTTCTTTATCCTCATTCAAACAATGCATTAACCCGTACATCCGGTTTGATTTTTACCCATCACATATTTTCCATAGACCACATCCCAAGGTATCTTGTGCTTAGCATTCAACAGGTTAACATTTTAAGCTAGTGATACTATCAAGTCTATAATGACATACAATTTCTATAGTGCTCAAAAATATTGTAACTAAATTCATTTTGTCTCGATTTGGATTGTTTACACCAATATGTTTGTAAATTTTGTATTTGTAGGGCCTCCAAGGAAAACAGTATTTAATTACTGATGGAGCCACCCTACTAAAAAAGACTAATAAATAAATAAATAAATAAAATAAATATCCACCATGCTTGATGCACAATGCACTCCCATATAACCCATGCTGTACCTAGCCACTGATTTTAGCGCTCAACAGCGTTCAGGTAAAATAACAGAGCTTGAATTTTTCAATCTCACAACTTGCTCATGTTTTAGCAGTTTTCTTGACATTTAATCATAATATTTTAACAATAAGATCAATTTATACGGTGCAGTTACTATACAAATATAATCTTCTGCACTGTGTTGGGAGGGAAAAAAATGAAGTCACATAACTATGATTTTGGTAGGTCAATGAGATAGCTAAGGCTCAAGTAGTAGCATCCTCCCAACCAGTCAATCACATTAAACTCATAACCTTTAAATGATGAAAATAAGACTTATCTGTTCATCTCACGTCTTGTTTTTGATGCAGCCATGGTGGTGCCTTTGACGAGGAAAGACATTACAGCTACCCCTTGACCAAGCCTTACAGAGGCACATCTGGTCTTACCACACAGGTAAAACAACACCCACTTGAATTGTTACCTTTTTTTCTTCTTCCAGAAGAGTGATCAGAGCCCTTGGAATACAGGATGGAAGACTTGTAATTTTGATTGATTTGATTTGATTTGATTAATTGGTTTCTGCATCTTTTTTCGTTTTCATCATACATTTTCATGAACATAATATGGTTTGATACAGTATTTCAACTGTATATAATTTTATACAGATAATATACGAAATTAAACAAATGAATTGAATGCATAATTAACTTTTAGCTCAATTACGTCAAGATCCCATTCTTTTCTTCTTCTTTTCTTTCTTGAATGATCAGTCTGAGATTAAGAAGGGCGTTTCTCATAACACATTGCTCGAATTTTATTATTAAGGATATAGTCAAAACAAGGGGAGGGGGGAGGGAATCATTCTGGATTTTCTAGTGGTGCATGTATATTGCCTTAACCGATGTTAGTGTGAATCCTTACATATTTGAGTAACAAGGTACTTGAATTAAAAGAGGAAAATCTGAGAAGAAATTATAATTAAGTAGGGCATGTGGTTCAGTGTTATTGCATATCGTTGTTAGGAGATATTTGCTATGATTTTTATACTTATGTTTTTTTGTGTCTCTGATTCATTAACAGACTCCAGCCAATATGTACACGGACGATGAGGGTTATTATTCTCCAATCACTCCCAAAGACATGAGCATTCCATCACCAGGACAGCCCTCCCACTCGTCATCTGTGAGGTACCCTCTGCACCCCAACACCGACAGCATTCCTCCTCAGTCTCACTCGCATCGCTTCATGTACCCCAGCGCCACGCCCTCCTCTTCCTCCTCCTCTGCGTCTTACCCCTTACCCCCTCCTGCCCCCCACCAGATCTCCGGCGGGGGGACTGACGCGCTCAGGCATGGCGGCGGGGGGCACCTAGGGGTGCAGCATCAGGGTCAGATCATGAATCCCATGGGCAGTCCGCGGAGGACGACCGAGCCAAAGCAGCCCGTACGACAAGTCTGGGGGGATGCGGGGTCAGAGCCGATGCCTCCAAGGCAGGTCTGGGGCGATGCAGGGCCGGAGCGGCTCCCCGATGCCTCGAGGCAGCATCTGGGTCATGATGAAATGACCTACCACGAAAGGATGAGGAGCTCATCGTCAGGACAACTTCAGAACTAGAAACTTGAGCTACTTACTAGGGTAGTGTAGACAATATTTGTTGATTCAACCAGCACCCCCCCCCCCCCCTATTACTGCTATTCAAATCATTTCACATCTATGATTTTAATCAGCTCAGATATATTTGAGCTTGAGCCAAACATGTCCAAGTTAGAATCTTAGACATGTAAGACATCTTCTAGACAGATGCTTATTGGCGTGATGCTACATGAAAGAGATGAGACACGTCTTCTCATGTGACAATAGTGATCTTTTATTTGTATTATTCAGTTTCACTTTATTGATCTTCAAGCCAAAAATCTAGCATTATCATGATTTAATTGCAGGCCAATATTATTCCAAAAGTAAAAAGAAATCAATCAATACTAATTTTGTATTACTCATAAATTCATGTAATTTATATTATGAAATCCTTTCATAGGCTTTGATTGGAGGATATGATCAATATGTAATTAATTGATCGTGAATATTCACATTGATTGTTTAAGATAAATGCTTATTCTTGCAGCCTTACACGTATTTCTTGCAAGGCTCAATGAAACCATATTGCACAATATGACACCATTGTCCTAATTTTGCCTTGTCATGTACACATTTGCACACTCTTTAATGAAACAAAGTAAAAACTCTGGATCATCGTGCAAGCATTTATGATTACTCAAAGTATATAGAAAGATACTACAGAATTGGGTGCCTAAATGCCTACTCCAACATATGACTAAGCTACCCCCATTCTGAGCAGCCATGCATCGGTAACATTGTACAATGGATGACACAGTCAACAGATCATCAATGGATAAAGGTCATGATTGTATTCCGACTTCCAACTTCCCGCCCGTATTTGTTCCCATCCGTTGAAGAATCACTTCCCACTCACAACCTGCTTCCGCTTTTCCCAAAAAGGATATACGGTTACGGGATAGAGGAAGTAGCGCACTTCCAACTACTAATCACCTGTTCTTTGTCCACGCCTTGTTCAAATAGGAACGCAAGTCATGGTAACTGGGGCGGCTTGATTGCCGGTCGACTGGTATTAGGGTGTTCAAAGATTAGTTACCGGTATATGATCTTTTTGGTATCATGATGTGTGTCATAGGTATGTTGTATAATTTCACGAGCCGTACCAGGCGCCATAGGAATATATGAAACTGAAAGTAAACTGTTATAACAGGAATTGATCAAAACCATGAAAGGTTGATAGAAAAGTTAAAGAATTGTTGTTGTCGTTATGATGTGTGTCATAGGCATGTTTGGCAATATTTCACAAGCCGTACCAGGCGGCGAAGCTATACATGCTTCTGAAAGTATCTTTTCTGTGAAACTGTTTAAGCAAGGAGTTGATCAAAATCATGAAAGATTGATAGAAATGTTTAATAATTTTTGTGATCATTATGGTGTGTCATAGGTGTGTTGGGCAATATTTCACAAGCCGTACCAGGCGCCGACGGGATACATGACTCCCAAAGTTGAATTTCTGTGAAACTGTTTCTGTGAGAATTAAAATGATTTGTAATGATGGTAAATAACTTTTTGCTCTCCCTTTATCAATATTACCCCAATGAAAAATATGCCACTTTCGTAGGTAGGAAGAGCATTGTATTTCCTCATATAATTATATCCCACCACCCAGCTATGTAGTAATGTTGGAAAAACAATATAAATACCATATTGCTTATATAATGTTTTGTTTACTCTTTTGGTACTTTATAAACCATTATAACCACATGTACAAATGTATCTGTATGTCTAAACGAAAACATGTTAAGTACTTAGTCTCCAGCTATGCTATACAAAGTAAGTATGTGACCTCGTCGTTTATCCTTTTTAATCACATTAGTTATGAAATAATTTATCCTGTTTATAATCATCCATGTTACATGTAGGATACATTGTTCGTGTTACTATGGTCCGATGAATCCGTCATATATATTACTATACAGATTTGTCAGTTCAGGATATCGATGACGAAATGTGCTAAATGTTCTGGCTTCTACACGTACGTTCACTTTTCAAAACCAAATCTGATATATACGGTACAATGTACCTCGTTCTTTATTGCATCCATACTAACCCTGTCCTATACTGGCAATGCTAAATGCTATTCTCTTTTCCTTTGTAATATATAATATCTAATGTGATTTCTAATACTGGGAGGTATATATATAGATATATATATATATATATATATATATATATCGTTCCTATTTTCACGAAGTGACGGTAGTGAGGAAAATCGTAACTCAAAGTGAATGCAATTTTTTTCACTACCGTCACTTCGTGAAAACAGCGACGATACGTGTGTGTGTGTGCCTTCTTTAATTGTGCCGATAGTTGTCCTATCTTAAAACTTTTGAGATCAAAACAAGACATTGTAAAGTCTAGTACAGTAAGTGGTACAGTATATTACTGTTCTTTTGTATAAAAAGATATAAATCAAAGAATTGTAAAGGCAGTTGCTTATTTAAACTGATGAGACTTATGTATGGGCATTTTGTCCAATCTATTCCTGAGAGGTTTTCCCTACCTTTGTTATTCTCTCAAATAACAAAGAATTGTGAAGTTTATCAAGTAGGGATAGAGTAGTGTTGTGAAAGAGAGAGAGAGAGAGAGAGAAAGAGAAAGAGAGATGTACAATATCTCTATTAGAGTTCTAAATGTGTTAAAAATCTGGGTCTTTTTCTAGCCGTGAAAGATGTGAACTCTTTCGATTGAACTTCTAAGGAGACTACTTCGTGTAGCTCGAATATAGTATAATATGTATATGGTGTATTATATGCAAATGTACTTTATACACAAACATGTTAGCGTAAAGGAAACCATGTTATTTACTTATTTTACTCACCGTACTCATTGTATTGACATTTGCAGGCAATTATACAGTCATTCTTTGTAATACGACTGATCGTTTTATGCCACCTTTCATTTTCATTTTCAATAATTTGGTGCTTGCTGTGAAAAGATTCATTGTTAAAAATCAATGGGCCATTAACTTTGTATATATGACTCCATTGTAAGAATCGGAAACACCTTTTGATCGCGTACCTTATTTGGTTTGTGTTCTGTTGCTAATGACTGGGGCATTTTTTGGGCCCACGCAGTTCAAAGCTTTCCAGGAATTCTTATGTAAAAGTTCCGAGTATAAATCATTCGCTGAACTCAAGTGACAAAAACAGTAAAAGATATCATAGGTATGCTATGATGTTCTTAGTGCTATCTTTGAAGTACCAGTGATTCTGTTTGGCTTAGTAAATAAAATGGTGAAATGCAATTTTAGGGTTTATTACTTTTGATAGATTCTTTATCATATTATCGTTCTTCTTTCAAGTTAGTCAAGTATGTTAGCTTTATTAGTTGATGTACTCTTATTTGAGATTTAAGGACTTATTGTTAGGCTCAGGCTTTAGCCAAATTACTCCTTGGTTAGATAGAAGAAATGGTTTGAACTCACTTGTAGTTTCTTCACTATGTTATAATACTTATAAATCATGCTTAAACGTCTATAAAATGTAACCACTGCCAAGTTATCTAGAAGTAAAATGCATTAAATAGTGTCATATTAAAGTCTATCATAGCCATCAGATTTGGTGATGTGTGTACAATTTGTAAAGTAGCAGCTAGAATTCTGCAACTTATAATGTATGCTAGACTGTCGTTAGTAACAGTGCATAAAGGGCTTTTTTTCACAAGCCAATCTCTTTTATCAAACTTTTTCTTATCTCAGTATTTGTTATAAATCTGCACCAGTTGGCATATTAGCACAAAAATAGAGAGAGATTCTGTTTAAGTATATGTCATTAAACAGTCTGAATATAGAATCTGATAAATCCTGATCTGGATTCCAGGATCAAATTAAGTTTGTATATCTTCTCTTTCCTTACTAGCTGTGCCAGTGTTTTATTTTGAATAAATGTTAACTATGAACAAAAATGTATTATAAATAATATTGAAGGTATTTGCATTAAAGGCAAAATTAAAGTGTATCAAAAAAAATCCTTTTATTTTAAAAAGGAACATTAGTGTGTGCCATTAAATTTTATGAGATAATTATGCATGATTTTATGTTTAATCTGTGTAAAGGAATAAAAATATTCAACCAATCAACTTTTTGTGTCTCATGAAGTTATGATATATGGATTTCTTGTGTGTGTTTGTAGTTACAGTTAAGAACAAAATTATTCATACCCATACCAAGTTTTGTCATTTTTCAAGTATGTACGTTTCATAAGAATGTGGCCTATTAAAGCTTACATCTAAAAGTACATGTATCGAAAAAAAAAAGGCCCTTATTCAACCAGTCCCCCTTTTATTCTTGAGTTACGAAAAAAACACTAAAACATCAAATTTACAAGGGGTGTAAATAATTCAGTTGTGAACTCTTATGTTTAAAGATAATCGAATCCAGGAATGAACAGGAAGCATGCTAAAGAGAGGATTTAGTCTCAACCTCCCCCCCTCTCTCTCTCTCTTCTTCTTCTTCTTTCCTTCCTTTTCTCTCCCTCTCTCTCTCTCTCCCCCTCTCTTCCTTTCTCTCTCCACCCCTCTTTTCCGCACTTTTTTCTCCTCTTCTTTCCCTCTCCTTTGTCTTAACATTACCAGTGATCTTTACTTTTTTATACCTCTTTTTTGTCTCCTTCATGTCATTGTTCATGTTTTCATATCTCTTTCTCCCCTCTGTGGAATGAATGCGATATGTAATACATGAAAATGAATGAGTGTGTGCTTTTTTTCTTCTAAATCTCTAACATAAGGCCGAAATTCGAAACATTTTTAGATCGGGCGTATTTCCTTTTTTTAGAAATAAATCCTCGTTCTTTACAGCAAAAAAAAAGAAAATGTAAAGAAACTTGGAAAGACGCCAATATTTTGACCAAAATAACCGCAAGGGTGATTACCCCTTAGTATTAGTATCCGTCAAAAACGTTCATCATTTTTATATCATTTTCCGCCCATACCAAAGATTTTCTTCGTTATCATATATAATAATATATATTTTTCAATCAATCCAGAGTTAATATCACCGTACTTTGTTGGAAAATTGTATCAGGGCAAATTTCATGAAACTCGTGAAAACGTCAATTTTAGACAAAAACTTCAAGGTGGTTAGTTCATCATTTTTCATTATTTTTGGCCGCAAAATCGATAATTTTAGGTTAGACCTACACTCGTATTTCTTCATCATTCCATAGCTAATGTGTCCCAAGTTCATAAAATTAATAAAAAGGATCGGGGAAAATTTCATGAAAACTGATTGGAAAACAAGAAAAAACAAGAAATTTATATTTCCCCAAAAGAAGTGTCCCAGGTTCACATACACAAAACAAAAATTGATCGAGGCAAATTTCATGAAATTTTGACAAAAATTGCAAAGGGTTTGTTAGTTCATAATTTTTCATTATTTTGGGCTGAAAATCTTTAAAAAATTGAATTTGGCATATTTTATATTTTTCCAGCATTCCATAGCTACGTCACAATTTGTATTTCACTGATGACAACTTTAAATATTCTAAACTTTCTAATTTTTGATCGCCGGATTTGCTCAAACATTCACCGACCTGTTACTTTCATTTTCTGCTTCTATTAACAAACTTAATATCAGAGTGGAATTCGCCTTTAATGTGGTTTCAAATTGATCATCGGTTGATACAATGAAACAATAAGCCACACAAATATAATTCCCGGATTATTGGACCGAAGCTCTAAATAACTCAAGGTATCGGTTACTGATTTTCTAATATCACGATAACAATTCGAAGTAAAATTGTCCAAAGCCTTTTCTAACTGAGTTTATATACATAAACATGTCAATAATTATATTTGACTCTACATAATAATTTGGCTTTTTTTTCTCGTGCGGTAACTGTATATTGAATTTGTATATAGGGTGTCCATATATATAATTATGTTTGTTCTTTTATGTTCTAATATTTTTGTAAATTTATTTTTCTAAATCATGTAATGTTTACGACAAGTTTTTTTATAGTGAGGGGGGCTACATTTTACACGCTATAAGCTTCTCAGCATAGACGCCTCCATACTTTTCCATCAGTTTGTTGTTCTAGTTCTCTATCTCCTCATCATTCTCTGTATTTTTTTCTCAATTCAACGTAAATATTTGTCATAAATTTGTATAATCTGTGGAATGTGAATGAATGAATAAGTACATAAATACTCTTTCGGCACATTTTGAAATGATCTCAGTTGGAACTTATAGGGTAAATGTTTATACAGGCCATTGTTATTGTTTAACTCATTTTGTTTTGTTTTTAACCATCGGAATGCCGCGAAAGAATTTCAGTTAATAATTGTACTAGAAATAAAA